TTAACGCTGTGTCTGGGACTCTGACCCAGGGAACTATCACTCCAGCTGGTACTCCTGCTGGGGGTGGGGGGGTTACCAAACATCCTACAACTATAACCTTGCTGGGATGTTTTTTCTGGTGTAGCTGGTCTGACTTTACAGCCTTCACTCCACCCGCTGAGCTCAGGCTTTTGTCCACTGCCATTAGACTCCTCTAAACGTTGTTGTCGGTCACAGAGCAGGGCACTGCAGGGCCATTCCTCGTATCAAAAATATGCCGAACTTAATCCTTTCCTTGGGCTTTAACCTTTTCCTGAGGCATTCCATCCCTTTGTGTTTCACGGCGTAAACCTCAAATATTCAAGTTTCTTATTCACTGCCAAAAACGCTATTACAGCAGCTTTAGATTTCAAAGACAGTTTTATTCCTGTTTCAGAGTGACCTTTGGATAAGTTTGTAGAGTTGGGAAAAAAATAGATCCTTTTCCTTTACATGCTCTGGTATTCAAAGCTCCTGAAACGGAGCCTGCAATGGGTAACAGCATTTCTAAGAATAAATATAGACCTTTCCAGGGTCTGCATTTCTGTGAGCCTTTGCCTTCCCGTAACAGTGAGAAATCACTGGTTCAGAGCAACGACACCAGGCATTTTAGAAGCTTTATTATTATTTATAAAGAGTGAGAGCGGAGATGGAAGTCTGGCTTGCTCGGATGCTGGAGTGGGACTCGACAGATTGGGGTTCAATTCCTGGCTGTGCCACTCACCTACCGGGTGACCTTAGGGTTTCACGTCTCTCTGCCTCTTCTTTGTCTGTTCAGTTGGTAAATTCTTTGGGGCAGAAACTATTTCTTACTGTGCATTTGTGCAGCACCTGATCTCTTTTGAGTGGGACCCTGATCTCTTTTGAGACCTCTCAGTAGCTCTGTAATACTTATAAGAAGACCCATCTATCTTAAGATTTGTGCTAGTGCCCATCACCATGACACTGGAGTGCCTTCCAGGCTAATTATATTAGCATAGCAAAGTCCACAGTGGACTTCATGGAGTCATACAGTGGCTGGAGCGTGCTAGGCCCTCGACAGATATAGACTAAATCAGGTGCCTGCTCCAGATACAATACAATGAAAGGGTCTTCTTCCATGATCCCACACTAGTGAGCTTACCTGTTACTAGGGTTTTCAGTGGGGATACAACCAGTAGTAAGCCCTGGTTAATTAAGGGTAGCCAATTATGGAGATATCCTATCTCCTAGAACTGGAAGGGACCTTGAAAGGTCATCGAGTCCAGCCCCCTGCCTTCATTAGCAGGACCAAGTACTGATTTTGCCCTAGATCCCTAAGTGGCCTCCTCAAGGATTGAACTCACAACCCTGGGTTTAGCAAGCCAATGCTCAAACCACTGAGCTATCCCTCCCCACTGCTTGACTACGCTCTGGCTCTGATATTAAAAGTATTCAGGAGACCAAACAGCCAAGCTGAGTCAGTTTATGAGGCAAAGACAAAGCAGACGTATGTACCACCCTTTTGGGAAGCAATCTCACTGCCTTCACCTTACACAGTAGGTCTGCTTTGGAAATATGCATCTAAGACTACTTACGTTTCTAGCCCAGTTGTTTACAAGTTAGAGAGTGTCAGGCAGCAGGGTGTTGGGCAAAGCCACGGTTCAGGCACCCTAACGAACACAGCTGGCCTGCAGTAGGCTGCCTAATTGGCTACGCCACCGGCTTGATTGGAAGCGTGAGCAGACCGGCTCTTAAGCCCAGCAGCAGCTACAGATCAGTGGCTGCTCAAAGTGTTTGCCTGTGGCTGTGATAGTGGCTGTCCCTGCTTGCTGCAGCTTAGCTCCTACCTTGCCTCATGCCAGGTAACCCGGTTCTGACCCCCGGCTCTGATTCCTGACTCCAGCTCTGACCCTTGGCTCTGGCATCTGGCCTCGGCTTCTGGCCCTGGGCTTTGACTCCTGCCTACTGGTGCCTGCTCTGACCACTAGGCATGACCGGTCACTGACCGCGAGGAGTCTATACGTCACCCAAGAGTCAACCCCTCCACTATGTACCAGTTTCTCTTCTTGTTTCCTGTCCTGTACCTTCCTTATCTTTGCTTTGGACATCACATTCCAGGTGCCAGTGGGCCATGTAAGCACCCCCTAACTGTCATCCATCTTGTTCCTGACAGAGTTTTGTAATTGCCTGTGCCAAGAGCCAGGTTTAACTGTTGCGAAGTGTTACGGGATGGCATGAGTGAACAGCATTCTGGGAAAAGCATAACACAATTCATAGTTATAGAACGTAGCAAAACTACACAGCGTTCACATATGATCTAAAATAATACACAGCAATGTGGTGTGTAATGTGTAACATTCATCACATATGTATTGGCGAACACACTCCACTCAGTGTAATTGCTCTGGGATCACTGCAGGTGGGATGCAAACACAGCTGCTGATGAGAATTTCACATATTATTTGTATGGTGGTAGTGCCCCAGGGCTCCAATTATGGAGCAAGGTCCCATCGTGCCAGACAGCCCATGCCCCAAAGAGCTTGTAGTCTTAGGCCTGGTCTACACTACGACTTTAATTCGGATTTAGCTGCGTTAATCCGAATTAACCCTTCACCCGTCCACACTACAGAGCCAGTTAATTCGAATTAAAGGGCACTTAAAATCGATTTCTGTACTCCACCTCGACGAGCGGAGTAGCGCCAAAATCGATCTTGTTAATTCGAATTAGGGTTAGTGTGGCCGCACACCACCGAATTACTGTGGTTAAATTAATGGGGTAGTGTGGCCGCACACCACCAAATTAATGTGGTTAAAAACCGAATTAATGTGCTTAGTGTGGCCGCGCACAATCGAATTTATACAACCTGTTTCCCAAATTCGAATTATCTAAATTCGGATTAATCCCGTAGTGTAGACATACCCTTAGTAACTTTACTGTTGTGATGTTGTAGGTTCCATTTCAGCTTCATCACGGGAGCTTTTAGTACCAGAGTATGTAAGGGTATGTCTACACTGCACACGAAGCCCAGGTTCTGACTCAGGTTTGAGCCCAAGTCCTCTTTCCATCCACACACAAAGCAGTCTGACTCGGCCAGCAAGCATTCAGGACCCAGATCCTAGGACCCTGCCGGGGCGTAGGGTCAGTGTTCAAGTCCCGCTGTGACTCAGTCCAAGCCCCGTCATGGACACTGGCCAAGCCACAGACCCAAGTCAGAAGGTCTGCATAGGGCAATGTGGACGTGTTAGCACAGTTGTGAGACCTGGGTCCAGCAATTGTAAACCCGGGTTCACAATGCAGTGTGGTTGCTAAGCACGGGTTTGGAAATACCGAGTCCACAAGCTTGGAGGCCACTGATCTGGGCTTAGTGTGCAGTGGAGACAGACTCTTAGGCCTGGTCTACACTGGGGGCGGGGGGGATCGACCTAAGATACGCAACTTCAGCTACGAGAATAGCATAGCTGAAGTCGACGTATCTTAGGTCGACTTACCTCGCGTCCTCACGGCGCGGGGTCAACTGCCGCCGCTCCCCCGTCGACTCCGCTTCCGCTTCCGCTTCTCGCCACGGTGGAGTACAGGAGTCGACGGCAGAGTGATTGGGAATCGATTTATCGCGTCTACACTAGACGTGATAAATCGATCCCCGATAGATCGATCATTACCCGTCGATCCGGCAGGTAGTGTAGACATACTCTTAGGGCTGGTCTACACTTACCCCCCAAATCGAAGTAAGGTACGCAAATTCAGCTACGTGAATAACGTAGCTGAATTCGACATACCTTACTTCGACCTTACCGCGGTTCAGACGCGGTCCACACGCGGCGGTCAGGCTCCCCGTCGACTTCGCGGTACTCCTCTCGCTGAGCTGGAGTACCGCAGTCGACGGGGATCACTTCCTGGTTCGATTTATCGCGTCCAGACCAGACGCGATAAATCGAACTTGGAACTTCGATCCGCAGCCGTCGAACTACCGGGTAAGTGTAGACTAGCCCTTAGTGTTTGCAGGATCATGCCTGAAAAGAAATCTAACATTATTTTGGGGCATGATTCATAACATATAGTTGAGTCCCTGAAAATTGTTTGTCCAAGCAGAACAACCTGGATCTATTCACAAGCAGAAAGAAGTGCTAAATTCACCAAACCGAACAATTCAACCAGCTTGAATCATAACTCTTAGCGCTTGCCCGGTGCTCCCAGCTTCTGCCTGTAGATCTCAAAGCTCTCCACAAATATGAATCCACTATACTGAGTGTATGAACATTGTACACACAGCTAGATTGTGCATACATACACATCCTGTACACATAGTGTATGTGCATACCATATTGCAAAATATGCACACATACACAGTAATACTGCACAAACATATACACTACATGGCCAGATATTCTGGGGTAGTATCTGCTGCTCCCATTGACTTTAAAAAGATCGGCTGAGTGCTGAGCCCTTTTGAAAATCCGGCCACTTATTTAGGTACTTAAATATAGACTTAGGATCCTAACTGTAGGCATCCATTTTTTAAAAAATTGGCCTACCCGTGCATGCCCATATATCCTGCACACGCACAAGACCTGATTTTTCTACTGCCAGGCACAGGCACTTACAGCAGTGGGGGTAAAACATGACCAAATCGGAATGGGCGCATTTTACACTCATAGTGGTGTAGATAAGGAGCGACTCCTTTGTGTGGTGGAACACCAGTGTAGAACTGGGGTGAGAGCAGAATCAGGCTTTGAATGACCGTCCATAAAAGTCTGCACTGCTCTATATGCAGTGTTCATCTATGTTCAATACACACACTTGCCCACACACCATCCCACAGCTGCCTGGCTCCCTCCTAAAGACAGTTATAAAACTATCCCACTCACTCCTCTTTCTCTCCCCCCACCCCCTAAAATGGCCTGTTACCAAAATGAGCCGGGGATGCTAGAAAAAGGCGCTGACGTCAATGTAAAAGTAAACCAAAGAGGTCTGGTTCCTGTATTACTCTGCAGGGCTCAGCGCTGGGGAGTAGCTGCACTGTCATTCGATTCAAGGATCTGGGAGCAGACTTCAAGACCCGCAGCTGATCTTTCTCATTCAAACTGTGTAAGTACTGTGCTCTCCTCTGCACTGACCTCCCTGAGCAGACAGTCGGGCTGATGTTCCCTCAGGGAGTTTTATCAATTGCAGTTTAGAAATGAAGCGTGTTAGGTCCTGGCGGTTGGTTTATACACGTGTTGGAGGGCATTTAATTCATTTGAAAATCCTTACCAACAAGTCTAGTGTGTCCTGAGCTGGTTTGTTCAATGTACGGGAGAGGCAGCAGAACACAAGTAGAAATGGTCCTTAAATTACAGTAAGTCTCAGTCATTGGTGGTTTTCTAGATATCAGAGTCATTCTGGAGTTTAACAGTCAAGTATCTGGTTCAAAAATGCGAATGCCATTCTTCAGTTTAGCAAGGGAAAAATCCAGTGTTTTCCATGTTGTTCAATTATATCAGAACTGATTTGTATATAGAAATAAACGCGTTATTTATATCTGTCTGCTATATGTGCGTGTCGATACTTACACACACACAAGCACAGGTGTATCTATAAGCATATTGTGGATAGATGTCTGTTAGCATTTGGTGTAATATGTATAACTTTACTTGATAGAAGATACCTGTAGATCGTACGTGTGTGTATGTATAAATCCAGAACTAGGAGTAATGAGTTTAAATTAAGATAATGAAAACTGAGTCTGAAATCTATCAGGATGAACTTCCTAATGATGGAAGCAGTTAGAATGTGGGAAAGTCTCCCCAGGATAGAAGCCCCATCGCCTGAGACATTCAGAAGCGGACTGGTGAAAGCACTGGGAAATGTGCTATCGGGACCAATCCTGATCTAGTTGTGGGATGGGTTGAATGGCCTCATAGGTCTCTGCAATGTCTATGATTTGGCTTTTCTGTATCATTACACACCCATTGTGCGCACAGTATAGTTAGTGGGTGTGTGTATTTAATTGAAAACTGAGTTATCTTTTGGCTCACGTCACACAATGGTGTTAGCAATGCAAGGCACCTTTTCTTTCAACATTTCTTAAAGGCAGACTCCCATTTCTTTCCTTAGCTAAAATCTGGTATCTTCCTGGAGCTAGAGATGCATTCTTAAAGCAACAAAACCTACTGTATCAGAAAGTGAAGACAGGATGGCAGTGTGTATATGAAATTTTGTATCCCTAATTACATACTAAAGGCAGAGTCCCAGCTGAAAATCCAGGTGCAAACACCCCTGGTTTCTGGATTTAGATCTAAACTTTGTGCCTTGGGCTCATCGCTAATAAACACATAGCTGTGCAGGACGAGACGGCAGCCATGCTCCAATCACGTCTGCAACCGGTCATGTGAAAAATCTGTCCCCTCCAACACTACCCTCTGAGCAATGGTACTGACATGGGGGGTCACACTGGGCATAAGTGAGGGGAAGAGCTGGCCATAGACTGGTAAACTTTTTAAATGAGAATGTTTTAAACTTCTTCTGACAGAAAATAAACCCCTCCGCCAATCCAGGAGAAAAACAACAGAGACAAATTCCCCCCAAGCCCCACGGCAATGCCTCAGCACAACATTAACACCCAATCCCTCAAGTGAGTCAATCCCACTGACTCCACCAACTTTTGCTTCGGTCCATGTCTGCTACTTGACCTCCTCCATCTCAGTTGGAAAGCCAGGTGTAACACCTACAGACCCCAGTCGCCGTTGGGGGAATCGAACCTGGGACCTCTGGAGCTTAAAGTGCATGAGCCGCTACTACACGAGCTCAAAGCAATATGGCTGTTAGTTAAGGCTGTAGAGCAGACGCATTAATCTCTCTCTAAGTGGTCTCGGTGCCACTGGATGGGACAGAACACCACACCCAGGAGGACACATACTGAGCCATAGTCTACCTTGCACTCAGCAGAGTGTAATGGAGCCAAAAGCCCCCAGAAAGCCTCCAGTCACTGAGGGGGCAGGCGAAGGCAGAGGGATGAGACCCTCCGCAGCATGCCCTCCTTGTGTCAAGGTTGATTTCCAAGCAAAACTCCACCTGGGAGTTGCAGTGGGTCAGACCAGCAATAATACCCCCGATGTGATTGCAACACCACATACACATAAGCAAGGGACAGGACGACAGCGCCGCTCCCCATAGCACGCACTTCAGCACCGCTGTTCTCTCAAATCCCATTGCAGTCAATGGAGGGAGTGGGGATAGGTCTGGTGCGCTGATCAGCACAGCGGCTACATTCGACCTGAAGCTACATTTAACAGTCAGCAGCCGTATCCCCTGTCCAGAGGGAGGAACAAACATCGTGGCCCGAGTCTGCAGAAGTGAATAGTGATTCTAAGTCCCTCTGTGTTTAGGTGCCCAACTGAAAGGGGCCTGATGTTCAGATGGTGGATGCTCGGCGCTTCCTGAAAATCTCAGAGGTGACTCATGTAGTGCACCCAAAATCTCTAGGCACTTTTGAAAATTTAGGCCAGCGATTCTGCATTGTCTTAGCTCTCTTACAAAACTCGAAATGACACGTTGTTTATACATTGTTTACTCCATGGAGTATTATAAGGCATTGTTGTAAATGCCCAGGTGTTTAAAAATTTACTACGCAATTCTCCATGTGGGTGAACATCCTGCGACATTTCAACAGACCTTTCTTACAAATGTCCATAGCTTCTCCAAAGGCCCCTTTGCAAATATTTTGAAGACCCCTCCCTCCCTCTTCTTCCTCCACATACTTTAGTTTTCCTTGTGAGTTTTATCTGCAGCTCTTTATCATTGGGATAGCTCAGTGGTTTGAGCGTTGGCCTGCTAAACCCAGGGTTGTGAGTTCAATCCTTGAGGGGGCCATTTGGGGATTTAGTTGGGAATTGGTCCTGCTTTGAGCAGGGGGTTGGACTAGATGATCTCCTGAGGTCCCTTCCAACCCTAATAATCTATGATTCTATGATTTCTAGCAGGGCCACTATGAATCAGCCAATGGTTTAGGGACTCCAGGCCACACAGCAAATCCTATTGATTCTCCTTGCAGGGCCGGCTCTGGCTTTTTTGCCGGGGGGGGGGG